AGGGAAGGAAATGTAAGATAGTTAGAACCATGGGTTGGACAGGGTTTAGATAACACCTTGGGAAGGGTAAAACACCCAAGGCCAAAAACTAAAAAGAAAGGTAAGAAAACTGAGAGGTAATCTAAAAACCCGTCGTCTCTGCATGTGTATGACAGATTGACTGAGGACTGTGGAAAGATGGGAGATGCCAATGGAGGACAGGGTTCCATTACAGCCGCAAAGATCGTGCGGTTACTGGAAAGTAGAGCTACCAAAAGGTTGCAACTGCCAAAGATATAAATATTCCCTTTTCAAGGAGAACGGGTGTCCCACTGGTTAGAGTTACTGTTACAGATCTTCAATCAGCTAACATCGGCTGAGAAGTTTGCTCAACTATATGAGTCCGTGTGGTGGGAATGTCGCCCGAAAGTCGAAAATATCGTTGCGGAAGGTCAAGGGAGTTGAATCGAGTTCAAAAAGGGGATGCAGCGAAAGTACAAGTTGGGTAATGGGTTGTCAACGGTCGATCACCTGCACAACTTGAATAGAAATGACCTCACTACAATAGGGGCATTCGCAACGACATTTGAAAAAATGGCAGAAAGAGTTCCGGGGCTTTCCGAGAAAATGCAATGTGTCATTTTCTTGGGAAAATTATCAGGATATGAGGCGATGGAGCTGGCACGAGGAGGTGCACCAGGTAAAAAGACATTCTGGGAGACAATAAAAAGAAATTTGGCGTCCTGTGATTTGGACCACGTGTTCCACCATCAGGTGAAAATGGAAAGAAAAAAAAGGAAGGAGGTAAACACAATTCAGGGGGCGGATCTAGCCTTAGGAGGGGTCTTGAGCAGCATGGCGACTCAACTGAAGGAAATGAAGGAGAAAATGACGCCAGGGAAGGTAATGGCAGTTGGTCAAGCAATGAAAAAAAGGAGATATGAGGAAGAAAATGAAGGAGACAAGGAAGAAGAGGAAGATGAGCCAGAACAGGTAACCAAAGCAAAAGCAGCCCAGAAGAAGACCAAAAACCAACCAACGGGAAAGCAAGGAACTGGTAAAGCACAGGGTTCTCAACAGACTGGCGTGTCTGGCATCACAGAAGCACAGACTCCCACTGCCCAACTCGCGTCATGGCCAGTTGTGACTCCTATGGGCGCATGGCCCGTATTTTTTCCAGAAAATCAATGGATGGGGTTTGGACAGATATGCGTATATCCAAATCTGCCTCAGATGCAAGGAGCAGGAGGGAACACAGGACAGACACAAGGACGAGGAACGAGTGAAGAATTGTCGCAGCAAGCTCAGCAGACACGCAGTAATCAAAACCAGAATCAGTTTCAAGGACAAGGACACGGACAAGTACAGAGTACAGGTAGAAGCGGAGGAAGAGAAAATGGTCAAGGTGGAAGAGGATTTGAAGGGAAAGGACATGGCGGACAAGGAGAAAGCTGGGGCAATCAGGGAGGCCCTCGGTCAGGAAACTATAATAAAGTGAGCTTTAACCAAGTCGGTCAAAGATATAACCAAGGGTATGGCCAGGGCTACGGTCAAGGCTATAACCAGAACTATGGCAGAGGGTTTAGTAGGAGTGATGGATAGTGGAATGGTCAAGGATACGGACGAGGTTGCATAGATTACAATGAGTGCACCTGTTCCTACTGTCAAATCAAGGGGCATACCGTGAAGAGGTGCCATGTTAAAAAGATGAACAAACAAGATGGGGTAATTACGTCAAGCATAGACGGAGATGTGTACGATAAGCGAGGTACTCTCATTAACCTAAACATCCCTGAAGGCACAAGGAAGGAGGCGCTAAGGGTTGCAGGGTTAGGACCAAGTGCCCCCGTTATGTTTCGAATCTGGCAAGAAAAGGAAGACCCCTTTATTAAGGTAGAAGATGTGACCGAGTTAGGAGAAGTTGAAGAAAGGACTAAAGATAGGCCAGGAAGAAGAGGATGCTCCGTTGATCGAGCTTGAACCAAGAGAGGACGAAGTAGTCAGGGAGTCAGCAAAAGACACCATAGAGAGGATGGAAGACCTGATAGGTAAGATAGGAAGGCTGAATACCCGAATGATGGATATATGTGAGGAAGTCAAAATTATGGAGTTAAGAGTCCCCCACATATTTACTATGGGTCAGGGAAGTGGGGAAGAAAGACCCCGAGAACCCAATCCAAGGGCGCTAAGGGCAAGTCTGGCAGCAGGACCCGAGGCAACATACCAAGCCCTTAGGAGTTATGTGCCATACACTGCTCGATGGACTAAAGGAAACAATGCGACTAAAGAACAGCAGCAGATTCCACCTCCTCCTCCTGGTGAACCCTCTATTGACATAGGCGAAGAGGAAGAGGATCGGGATGAATAACTGAGCGAAGAGGAGGATAAGCGCTTTGAGCAGAGGGCCAAGAAACGGAAGCAGGGAAGTAAGGAAGGAAAAGAGAACGTCAGAGAAAAATCCAAGAAAAAATGGAAGTATCAGACATCTATTGAAGAGGGGGTAGACCTCGAGAATCGGGTAAACAAGCTTCTTGACGGACATAACGAGCTGTTAAATTTGAAGAAGATTTTGGTAACAGCCCCAAAGCTCAGAGAGTTGGTTAAGGCGAAGCTGGCACGAAAGAGAGTGGCGACGGTAAGGATGGAGGATTTGATCCCCAAAGAAGCAAACTGGACTATCGCAGGGAACAAAATGGATTGGAAATCCGTAGGAACTAGTTCTATTGAGGTTAATATTAGAGGAAGAGGATGTCCTGAGATGGTGGATATCGGGGCAGAAATGAATATTATGAATTTAGAGACGGCAGAGAGACTGGGATTAGAAATTGATAAGAGCGACTTCGGATACCTCAACGGGGTCAGTGGGAAGTCGGGTTATATGGGTGTGGCCTCAAATGTCATTGTGGAAGTAGGGCGGATTAAGGTCCGTTCCTGCTTCTACATCATGTCGAGTCTGAATCTTCCCATATTATTAGGAAGATTTTTTTTGTCGAGGTCAGAAGCTCTCATCATGAATAAATATGACGGAACTGTGTACGTAATATTGTGTGACCCAGTATGTGGGAATTTCGAAGTGCTCACATGTAAGAATACGGGACCCCACTGCTCAAAGAATCGCCTCAACGCAGGGTCATACACGTTTGAAGAATCCGAGGACAGGAGAAGAAAATTAGAATGAGGATCGAGTGGGGATGAAGAAGATGAAGAGGACGAGTGACTGGTTCCGAGTTTGGCTAATATAGACCAGGCAATGTGCATGGTCTCAGCCTATGAGATGGCCGACCAAGAAGTCATCATGGCCTTCGCTGACAGACTGGGCGAATATCCCGAAGGAGGAAGAATGAAATTAGTATATAGACCATCCCCAATGCAGGGACCATATGCCCAATCAAGCGGTCAGCATTTTTTAGGGGTGGGCTCAAGCAAGGAGGCAAAAAGAGGTACAAGACAGTAGACAAGAAGAGTCGTTCAGTCCCAGTTTTAGTAACGCACGAACAGAGTGTGTATTATGAGCAGGAGAGGGAATTGATAAGACAAATGAAAGAAAAGTGGGATGAAGAGGCATGTTGTATCAATGACGAGACAAAAAAAAACCTGATTATTGGGGAGCCCGAGTTTCTGACTGAGCAGGAAAGGGCGTTGGTGGTAAGTTTAATGAGGGAGAAGCATTGTGCCTATACCTTTAACGATGATCAGAGAGTGAGGTTAGATGTGGACAAGGTAGGGATGATCAGGATCCATACTGTCCAGTATCAACCTTGGAATGTTAAAGGAGTCAGGTACCCGAATCCTGATGATCAGAGGAGAGTGGTGGAGTATCTCGACGGGAAGATTGACTCACACGTGGCTGGGTTTTCCGGTGGGCCATATGCCTCACCATGGTTCTGCTTTATTAAACCAAACGGGGTACTCAGGTGGGTGCATGACTTGCAGAGACTAAATGTCGTGACTGTTAGGGATGCTGGAGGGCTCCCTAACGTTGATCAGTTTTTCGAAGCATATGCAGGGAGGTCTATTATTTCTCTTATAGACCTCTAAACTGGTTATGACCAGTTTCCAGTTTATCCGGCTGATAGACCGATAACTGCGATGCACACTCCTAGGAGACTAATCCACATGAACGTAGCACCTCAAGGGTGGACTAATGCAGTAGCCATGGTTCAAAGAAGTATGGTCAAGGTAATGCAACCGATTAGTCCACAGATCACTGAGCCCTATATCGACGATCTTGTTGTGAAAGGGCCGATGATAAAGGATGAGCAAGAGATTGCGCCTGACATTAAAAAGTTCATATGGGATCATGTTAATGATCTCAGGAAAGTGCTTGATCTTCTGCAGGAGCACAACCTCACGGCAAGTGACGCTAAATCCGGGCATTGCATGAGAGAGGCGACCATTCTTGGGTTTGTGTGTAATGAGCAGGGTCGTTGTCCGGATACCAAGAAAACGAACAAAATTCTTGAATGGCTGACACCATTCAAGAATATAGGCGAGGTAAGATGTTTTCTTGGGACGTGCGAGTTTTTTAGGATATTTATCAAAAGGTTTGCCGCTAAGACCGAGCACGTAAGAAAATTGGTAAGGAAGAATCAGGAGTGGGAGTGGGGAGAGAAGCAGGAGCAAATGGTGAGAGATTTTTGAAGGAGGAATTTGAGGAAGGAGGTCTGGTACTGGGGGTTCCGGACTACGGAGCAATCTTAGAGCGCCCCTTCAAAATAGAAACTGATGCCGGACCCACTGCCTTGGGAGGAGTCTTGATACAGGCAGATCATGAGGGTAAGGAAAGACCATTACGCTTTGAGAGTCGCACTCTCAATTCGACGGAAAGGAACTACTCTCAATTCAAGAAGTAAGCCTTGACGGTTCTACATTCCTTACGGATCTTCAAACACTATCTCTTTGGGAGAAGATTCATTCTAAGGGTAGATCCAACCGCCCTCATGTATTCCCTTAGAAACTTCTCTCCAACTGATCTTATAGTTGTCAGGTGGCTCACTTACATCTGGATGTTCGATTTTCAGTTGGAGCACATTCCGGGGAATAAGAACAGAGCGGATGGGTTGAGCAGGATAAAGTGGGAGAAGTCTGGAGAAGCTAGGGAGGAGGCGCCGTCGGTAGACGGATGCTTTGAAGAAGATGACATGCAGCTCCACGTTAACGCATGGGACTTAAGAATCAATGATAATGAGGTGCGAGAAGGAAAACCTATGTGGTATGCACCAACGACTTTTGTGAAGGATGAAAGGTTGGTATTAAAGCCTTTCGTCGAAGAGGACCCGTGGGGATAAAGGAATGGGGAATGGATGACGGAGTTAGCCTTAGCTGAAAGTTACAGGTTGACGGACGAACTTGTTACAATTGAGGCATGAACCGGGCAGGTGGACCGACATTTATTGACGGTGGTGAGAGTACATTACCTTGTGAACTTTCTACTACAAGTCCGGACCGAAGAAGAAAGAGGAACAGTAAAGGCGGATGAGATAGTATTGGGAGATGACACTGAGTTTGATGAGGAAATGGAGGGAGAGGAATTTGAACAAGGTGAAATCTCGAAAGATTTCCGGGAAGAAGAGTACGATGGGTTTCATCTAGAAATGAGGCTTCTTCTCTCAGGCGACAAGCGAGAAAGGGAAGTTAGTGAGAAAACTCTCCGCATGAGGGACTATTGTGTAGTGAGGGGTGACCATCTCTTCATCATGGATAAAAGAGAACCTCCTAGAAGGGTCATCTGTGACAAAAATCGGCAGATTGATGTCATAGCAGCCCTCCAAGATGGACCTGTTGGTGGTCACAGGGGTTTTGCCGCTACCCTAAAAAAGGTGACTGAGCTGTTGGGAAGGCATGCACGGGATGGTTAGAAAGTACTATGAGTCATGTGTGTCGTGCCAGGTCAGATCGCCGATCAGGTATAAAGAACCTCTTCATCCAAGTTATATCAAGGATGTGGGGTCAGTTGTCCACTTGGATTTGCTAGCGATGTCAATGAGGCTTGGCGGGTACAATTACATCTTTAATGCCAGAGACAACCTCACAATGTTTGTTGATCGAAAGGTCATCCGGACCAAAACTGGGGCAGTCTTGGCCGAGTGCATCAAAGAATATTACCTCCGGTATCCTTTCGTGGTGGAATTCACAATGGATAGAGGGTCGGAATTCAAATGTGGGGAAGTTAAAGAGTTATTGGGTGATTTCAGAGTAATCGTCAAGTACACCACCAGAGCACATCCTCAAGCTAACGCACCGGTAGAGAGAGGGCACAGCACCATCACCAACTTACTGGCAAAATGGACAGCGGGAAAACCAAACTTGTGGTCCAAGTTCCTACGGACTGTATTCTTCGTCGAAAACATCATTGTCAGGAGGACCACGGGGTACGCTCCTGCGACCCTATGGTATGGACGACACACCATTTTCTCAATATAAAGTTTTCTAAAGACCTGGCGGAGGCAGGATCTTGAAAACGACCTGCGGCTTGAAGAATTGATTGACATCCGAGCCAGACAGGTCAGTGTCACAGAGGAAAGGATCCAGGAAGCAGTCGAGAAGGTGGCTGACAGTCGGGGAAAAAACAAGGAAAGATGGGACCGGCTTCCTTGCGTACGAACTGAACCGTTAGCAATCAGGAACGTAGTATTGTTGTATGACTCATCCTTGGAGAAACAATGGTCAATGAAATTGGATAAGAGATAGCTGGGGTCGTACAAGGTTCGACGTCAAGGGAATCACGGGGCGTATGAGCTGGAGGAAATAGATGGAACACCAAGGCGAGACTGGGTATCCGGATCAATGTTGAAGAAGTTCAGGACAAGGGATGAGGCGAGTCGGTAAAAATACAAATCAATTCGATCCTCCCTAAAACACCTTGTGATTGCATCATTGCGAACCTGATATTGTTACCCGGCTGCTAACACCCTTAACACCCTTTTGCGCCTGCCACTTTCCTCGTTCTTTTCTGTGTGCAGGCTTAATCATGTAAAAGGAGCGGCGATGACACGAAAAGGAGGGGTGGCGGGGCCTTCCAGACCAACTTCTGGCAAGGAACGGGGACGGGGATCACGACGGGTAACCAGGGACGCAGATGGAATGCTGATCTACAAGAAGGGTGAGGAAGTGTCAATTGAAGATTGAAGAGATTACCACCGACCGTTTGGGGTGGATGACCTTCAAAACAGAGATGTGGGTTGAATATGGGGACCTGAGAAGAGATGAGATCGAGGATGATATCATCTTTAATGGGACAAATGTGGAAGATTTTGAGAACAGCCTCACTCTGTGTGCGGAAAAGAAAGGATGAAAGGAAGATAAAAAACTAGAACAGATGATGGCGAGAGTGGACCCCAAGGAATACGAGAGTATGAGGAAGATCAAAGAAGAGTCAGATACCTGGGGAGAGTTTCTTGTCAAATTCAGAAGAACCTACACTCTGGCCGTACAAAGACAGAAGAAAACGGAGTTACTTCAAGAGCAAGGATTGTGGATAGGGAGACGAGGAGACAAGCTGGAAATGAAAGCTCGACAGGAGATTGATGAAGATGATGTACGCCTCAGACATGTGCTTGATAGAAAGAGGACAACAGTTCAGAAGGGAAATGAATAAGCAAACAAGACCACAAAAGTGCAAGAGAAGAGAAGAAACAGGGAGAAGAAGCAAAGCGAGGAAGAAGAAGAGGGAGAGAGGGAATAGGACATGATGAGAGGAGAAGAAGGGAAGAAGGAAGTGGAGGAGGTAGCAAAAGAGAAAGAGGGCACAAAAGAGAAGAAGGAGAATGAAGAAGAGGGAGACAAAGGACTGGATATGATGAGTGGAGAAGAGGGGAAGAAGGAAGTGGAGGAGGTAGCAAAAGAGAAAGCTGATACAAAGGAAGGAGAGGGGAATCAAGCTGAGAGAGAGACTGGAGTGGCAACAGCTGAAAATTCTCTCAGGGGACCAGGACCAAAGAGAATGACCAAGGAGGAGAGAGAAAAGAGAGAGGAGGAAAATAAGGAATGGAGGAATAAGATGGTCGCGTCAATGAAAGAAGGTGAGTTACTTGCAGATACCCCTTGGAGTGAGAAGATCGAGAGAACCTTGTTGATTGAATCAATCAGGGGCTCTAGACTGGCGTCAGACATGGACGAGCTGATCAGGCTGCATGAGCTACTTCGGGATGACTGTGAGTGGCTCCTTGAGAGAGGAGCCGAGGTAGCTGAGAAATTGAAGAGAGCAGGAAAGAACCAGAGAGGGAATGACGAGGATGGGAAGGTGGAGGCTTCGATGAAAGAATTCCAAACAAGGGCAAAAGAGAAGGAAGAATTGTTCATTCAAGGAGTAGAAAGCCGCATCCCTTAAATCATGAAAGAGATCCAGAGATTGAGGAAGAGGAAAAAAAACAGGGATGCACAGATGGAGAGAATGAAAGCTGCATCCCAAAAATCAAGGAGAGAGAAAAGAGAGAGGAGGAAAATAAGAAATGGAGGAATATGATGGTCGCGTTAATAAAAGAAGGTGAGTTACCTGCAGATGCCCCTTGGAGTGAGAAGATCGAGAGAATCTTGTTGATTGAATCAATCAGGGGCTCTAAGTTGGTGTCAGACATGGACAAGCTGATCAGGTTGCATGAGCTGCTTCGGGATGACTGTGAGTGGCTCCTTGAGGGAGGAGCCGAGGTAGCTGAGAAATTTGAGGGAGCAGGAAAGAACCAGAGAGGGAATGACGAGGATGGGAAGGTGGGGCTTCGATGAAAGAACTCTAAACAAGGGTAAAAGAGAAGGAGGAATTGCTCATTCAAAGAGTAGCAAGCCTCATTCAAGGAGTAGCAAGCCGCATTCAAGATGGAGCAAGCCGCATCCCTGAAAAGAGGTGGAGAGCATGAAGGCTTAAATGAGCAAAGTGAGTGAGAAACGAAAGGAATTAAAATAGCAAGTTGAATCATTGAGCGTTGCCTTGAGCAACAAGGACAAGGAGGTGGAAAAAGAGAGGGTTGAGCGAGAAAGATAAAGGAAGTTGGCAAGCTGGAAGGGAAGGTCAGTAAGCAGGAAAAAGAAATGAAGGCTATAAAGGAAGGAAGAAAGAAGGAGAGCAAGAATAGGGAAGAGAAGTGGAAGGCAATGGAGAAGAAGGTTGAGAGTCTTAGTATGGTTGTTCAAGGGGAAGGAACTAAAACGCCTACAAAGATAGTTGAAAGGAACGACGAGCTGGGATTTGAAATCAAGAATGTTACAATGACACTTCATGCGTCAGGGCAAGACTCAGAAAAAGCAAGCAGAGAAGTATTGAGACTAAGAAAAGAGAACAGTGGTCAGCCCACTATCATCCCAACTTCTGTTAACAAGCTGGTTGAGCTGATAACATTTGACACTGTTACAAAGTCTTCCAATGAAGACGAATCCATGGATAGTAAAAAGAGACCTTGTTCTGAGATGGTGGAAGCAGGTGGAGAGAAGGAGATGACATTCCCACATCATTCTGCCAAAAAATCAAGAAGTGAAGGCAAAAAAATGTGTTGGTATTGCATGAAGGGGATGCATCTGAGAGAGGAATGCCCAGGGTTTAAGTTTGATGAGGAAAAGGGTTTGGTAAGGTTGGATGAGAACGAGAAGTTCATTGACAGGGAAGAAAATATTGTTAAGAAGGCTAAGGATGGGTTCAAGGCTCAGTTGTATAGACAGTTGAACCTTAGCATGATAGGCTAGGGGGAAAGAATATGCCTTGACCTCCTATGTTTTCTGCAACCATTCCACTTCTTAGCGTGACTTTGTACACTATGGGTAGAAAGTGTAAAATAGATAGGGTCTCTTCTTTTGGGACATGGTGATGTATTTTAGCAGCAGAAAAGAGTCAACAAAATTTTGTAACCTTTGTCTTGATATAGGATTAGCTCAGCATATGTGCTTTAGTGAGTAGGGACAGTGAGTCATATATTATGAATTTTTACGGGGTATGCCGACGAGGAACACTTTCACAGCTGAAGTTGGTCCAGTGTCTGGTCTTGTTTGGTGAAATGTGTATCTTGGATTTGTGTACAAACAGAGCTATCAAGTCTTGAACTAGGATGCTCATAAAAACGCCTAAGTGTTCAAGAAATATAGGGTGAAATGTGACATGTACGGTTTGAATGTGCTTTGGCATTGTTGATCGTTCTTCTTTCATGCTTTATCTTATATTGTTATTGTTTAGAAAGACCCTTAAAAAGTGGGTATGAAAAAGTTAAAAGCTTTGATGCATTTGAGAAACCCTGCAGGTCAGGGAAGTGTATGTTGTGAATGAAATGGTTGTTCTTTTTCTGCCTTCTGACAAAACAAGGAGTCAAACAAATATTTTTTATACTTTTTTTATTGATATTTTGGTTGGCTTATTCTGTCGGTTGAAGATCCCTGAGACGTGTGTCTGTCCAGCCTGTGATCGAGGTCTGGATGACATTACCACTAAGAGATTTTAACGATGCCTTTCGCTAAGTGACAATGTGACAATCATGATATATCGAATTTATTGGTATAAAATTTTCATATACACTTTTCAGAAAGGTTCATTGATTCAAACTGACGAGGGGATGAGATTCTTTGGTCAAATTGTTTTTATATATATTTCAAATGATCATCGTTCATCCACTTTAAGTGGTCAGTCTGACGGACTTGAAATTACCAAGCCTATCGTGGAAAATTGACATCGTTAGGACGCAACTCCCTGCGTGGGTTGCTGACCAAGTATAACCACACAGCGGGCCTTCCGATTACGGCCTAGAACTGAAACCTGAGAGGGGGCCTCCTTAATGATGAAATTGGTTCAGATAGATATCGGAGGGATCAAGAGTCAGGTTTAGAATCATAGGAGGATTCTACTCGATATTGTATAACCAATATGGGAACCATCGTTAAAGTAACAACGTGGTGGGCCGCGGTTTCTGTCTTATCAACCGACTGTGGTGGGTTGAGACCAAGGTTGTCGATCCCCTCGCATTAGACTTCGGGTGTGACGGTAAAATCTGACTTAGGTCAAGACCCGCGTCTGAAGACTGGGATTCGATATTGACTCCAAACTCCTCGGACACCCAACGAGATCTTGGCAAAATAAAGTCTAAAGTTGGGGGGAGGAGCTATCATTGTCTTCCTTGGTGACCTCCGCAACTGTAGTACAGATCCAGTATGTCCACTTGGGTTTATATGGATTAATCTTTTCTTGGGAATTGTCATTTTTGGATATGTGGGAGACCGAGGTTAAAATCATGGCAGTATGGACGCACCAAGGGGGACAGTGAGGGTTTCCAAACCGCAACTTCATCCAGGGGATCGGATTTTGACTCCTTGTCGCGTCAGAAGGCCTTTCTTTGCATCTAGATTCCCCAGCGACGGAGACGTCGCTTAATGGGGTCTGGGAAAATTGTCGAAGTTGATATCCTTACAAGGGTATCCGCTCATGTTTTTATAGTCGACACAACGTCGGCACCAACGGACTGGCTGAAGACGGCTAAACATGGGAAATGAGGCAAACCCCTCAAACGCTATGGTCGAGAAGGTTTTGTCAGCGCAAACACCAGAACATGCCACACGCTAACTAAAGTCGATGTTTAAACTTTTTCGGATGCTCGCCTGCCTTGTCGCAATAAACGCAGTGACGGTAAAGATTAGGGGAATAACGTTTGAATGACCGAGCACGCCATTTTGACCCGCCCGAAGGCTGGAGGAGGATTGGTAAATTAAACCACCGACCAAAGAGGCCGGAAGATTAATCGAACAAAAGGGTAGCACGGAAAGCGACAACGATTTTTCTTCAGATTTTCGGCGACTAAAAAGGATAACAGTATTGAGAAAACAGGGCGGTAAGACCACTTGCCGCAGATTAAGGCATAGGGTGAAATTACTAAAGGCCCCGGTCATGCGGCCAGGGCAACTGACAATGGGGTACGACAGTCAACAAGAACCTTCGTCTACCCCTGGGAAAGGCTAAAGGCAATACAACAGTCAAAGGAGGAGAGGAGGGCATACTCTACTTATACTGAGAAAGCTCCTAGTAGCTCCTAGTATGACCGAGTTAGGAGCTAGCCCAGTGGGTATGAGTACGGATTGACATGCCAAAGAGAAGTGGATTGAATCCGCCCGACCTCCCGGGCTAGCTCTTTTCTGCAGACCGTCCAACCGCTATTTTGCTCGGTTCTATGATAAGCAGGACTCGAACCTGCGACTACCGGATTACGAGAGGAACGATTAGTTAGAATATGGGCTCCTTCCAGTATCAGAAGCCCGACAGTTGGCCTTACGGGGCGTAGTGACAGTAGTTCAGTTGGATTTCTTTATTTTCTTTTTTTTTCTCTTTTATTTCATGATCCGTTGACATTCGTTACAATTTTATGAAAACTTTTGAATGCATATTCCCCAAAGTTATGAGCGATGTTCAGGGTTGTTGAGGAGAGAAAGTGACTTGCCGAAAATTACGGAGAGTCGTTCTCTGACCAACCGAAAATACACACAGACGAGCGATGTTCGTTTACTCACCGGGAATAAGAAGAACAGGCTGGTGTATTTGACCCCTTAAGACGGGCAGGTTCATCTGTCCCGTATGCATCCGGACGGGGTGTCAGTCCAAGGGGATACATGATAAAACCCACTTATTATTATTATTATTATTATTATTA